ATAAGGAACAGCATACGTTTCCGAAGCTCTCCTTATGCCCATACGATCCGCTGTAACTGCCTGTAAAGCTTTTTCTAGAAACACGGGATTATAATTTCTTCTTCGTCACAACCCAAATACTTTCTTGTAATTTCTTGGCATTTTTAACCTTATGTTTGAACATGTGTATGATCGTGATCATTGATAAAACAGTTACTAAAATTATATTAATATAATTAACATAGATGATTCAAATCACCCCCATATATTTAGATTAAAAAAAATCACAACTGCTAACTAAATGAATAAAATGAAAATAAAGTATCACCCATGTCTTCTAGAAACATAAATAAACATAATAAAAAATCTCAAAAAACTTCAACTATTATCAAATTTTAAATATAATAGTTTGTTTTCAAATATTTTTAACTTACTTATTTTCACTACTTACGTATAACAATTTTTATTGACACTGCAAACCAACTACTAACGTCTCTGTTCACATCTAGAGAAGTACTGACCCATGGAGGAAGGATTATTAAGAGTTGCCGTTTCTTTGTAGAAATTTGGCAACATGTTTGCTTGCAGCGACCTGTGGGGTGGTGGAGTAGAACTAATCTTACTCTCTCGGTAATGTAGTTACCAGCAGTATTACCATCAACTCTTACTCTGTTACCCATAATTTTATATTTAATTTAAAAATTGGCGGGTTTTTTTAAAGAATTTACTTTTGCAATTATTTTCTAAGTAATACGAAATATAGCCATACAAAATTTTGGTAGTAATTTTTTTAAATTTTTAGTGAAATAAAAAACAAGTACGTGTAGCTAAAATATGTTCCTCTGGGTCCCCTTTTTCAAAATTTAATAAAATTTTGATGGCAATAAATCGCAAAATTTTATTTTTATTGAGAAAATAATTAAATCAAATTTCGGAATAGTGGCTCCAGAAAAACGGACATTTCACTTTTACCTGAAGGTACATATTTTTCATTCACTAAAAAGTAAAATTAAACTATAGAAATATTTGTGGCTCTATTTCGTATTGTTTAGAAAAAGATAATTGCTTAAGTAAATTTTCCTTTTTTATTAGCTGTTTGTAACAATTATGAAATGCCCAATAAAAATGTAAAATTCTATGACAAATAATTATGAGGGATAAAATAAATATCATACAAAATTTTATATAATTATATTTACTAAAAATTCCCAAGAAAAATAAATAAAAAATATATCAAAGAGATGGCAAAACAAAAAATTATTTTTCATGCACTTCACCCCCATACAAGCGAGCTTATGCGAAGCAAGAATGTCTATTATTATTATTATTGTTATTATTATTATTATTTACTATGGCGCTCCCGGACGTCTTATTAATGATTCTTTAAGAAAGTTACTCTAATATCACAAACATTACATTTCCATTTCGGTACGTTAACTATCTTTGGCTAACAAAAATCAGAAATTGCACAACAAATAATTAATTTACTTGATATGAAAACTAATGCCTAATTAAATAAATTTTTAAAATAAACAAAAATCAAAACAACAAATTCTTCTTGAATCTTAGGAAATAAGACAAAAGCAACCATCCATATAAACTGAAACAGAAAAAAATTAAATGCAGTAACTTCAAATCATTTTGTTTGTTTTTTAGACATTGCAACAGCCTTCATACTATCATTTTAATACTTTCTTGTCATTAATAGTAGACAAGTTTCAACTAAATGAGAAAAGACGTCTGTTTTATTTTTATATGTAAACCAGAGACGGCTCGTGGCCTAGTCTGCGAGGAGGCTGGCTCACCCTATATAATTTATACAAATATATATTTCTATTAGAATACAATGTAATATTTCTGCTTTTTGTATTCTTATAGACATCTAGGAGTAGTATTTACTTCATCAGGTCTTTTTAATGAAATGGCTCATTTTACTGCCAACAAAGGTAAACAGGCTATAGGTTCTCTCCTTCCGATAATGTCGAAAGCTAAAATTAATACTTGGCATCCTAGAATCAAATTATTTGAGTCACTTGACCTTAGTGTTATGTTTAATTGTATTTCTGTTTGGGGCCTAAGATACTTAGATGTATTGGAAAGAGTCCAGTTATATTTCCTTAAAAGAGTTCTTTTAGTTCCCATCACTTCTCCTGATGCTATAATCCGTTTAGAGACTGGAAGAGTAAAGTTTGCATTTAATATTTTTAAAATGTCCCTTAATTGGATACAAAAAATAATGACAATGGATAATCATCGATATCCAAAGCTTTGTTTTAAACAACAATTGCGTTTGATCAACTCTACAGATATAAAGTATAACTGGATAGTACAGTTAAAAAAGTTCTTTGTTGATATTGATTGTGTTCATAAATGGAACAATTTAAGCCATCCTTCTTTTAGTTCATATAGAAAAGAATTGTTTTCCAAGTATTTTACACATTTACATGATTCAGATATTAGTATAGCGTCTCGCTATCCTTTTATGTATTTATCTAATTATGTTCCTACAAGTACATACTTACTCTTTAAATTACCAATCCAGGTTACCCGTACTCTTGCTCAATTGCGTATGTCCAACCATTTTAGGATTAAATTTACATTAAATGGTATTAGTTATGTTATTGACCCCGAACTAGATTGTACTGTGTGTAATACACATGAAAAAGAAACAATTTTTCACATACTTTTTGATTGCCCTATTTACTCAACAATGAAGCAAAATATCGCTTGCCTTGAAAATGTAAACTCATTGCTGCATACTTTACAAAATATAACAATTTTTGAAGCTAGGAAAATTGCTGAATATATTTGGAATATATTAAAATTGCGCTCTTTTGTACTGGAAGAATAATGTTGTTTTTATGTTTTAAGATCTAATTTTTTTATATCTGTACTCATTGCTGTAACTCAGGTTTAGAAGCAATAAATATTATTATTATTATTATTATTATTAATATAGACATATATTTTTATTAAGTATATAGGGTGTGCCTTTTAAAAGTAGTCTCCTCATAGACTAAGCCACGATTCGCCTCTGATGTAAACCATTTAAAATCAACATGGTTTGGCAAAAAAGTTTAATTTTTTGAATTATGTTGTCAATATGACCCTAAAGTGGTAAACTATTTCATGAATTTTTGAAAGAAATTCAATAACATTTCTTTGTACATAAATAAAACGTCTTTTATCATCATTTTCTTTAAAATAAGTAAAAGTATCGATGGTCTTCTAACATGTCTGTGAATTAACTTTACACTCTTTGCAGTCAAAACTATTAAGTTTCATAATAAACCCTGCAAAATAACTAGTGGCCTGACTCAAATTCTGCTTCATTTATCAATTTTGTTTATATTATTAATATGAACTTTATCTTTGGAGGTGTGATAACAATATTACTAAGTACTACTATCTTTGGTGTATCTGGTTTTGAGGATGCTAAAGCAAGGCAGAGCAAATCTTTTAGCAGTCTTGAACGATTTGTGTTTGTAAACGATTTTGTATCAAAATATGATTTTCGCATAATGTATAATGATTGGTTGTAAGTGGAATGAGTGGAATGTTTAAAATACGACACCATTCCTTTCCTTGATCAATATCAGAAGGAAATTTAAAAATGTTTGTTCTTAAAATTTACGTTTGAAATATATAGGCCTTATAGAATGTACTATAACAATTAGAAATTATGCGTTTATAATGAATTCTGCCTGGTAAAGACATGTTAAAGCATCAAAATACCTTTAATTGATTTTAAATAATCCTAAATACCTAAAAAAATAAAAGTAGTTCTACTCACATGTTTTCGTCGACAACCAAAACCATAACATAACCTCAAATTTGTTTGATTTTGATGTTATTTGTTGACAGCGCGCGCGGGGCCCGCTATAGCGGGCAGCCAGCAATTATGCAGCGGACAGAAAGCCATCTTCACATAGTACAAATAACTAAGTGAAGGCATGTTTTCTTTAATTTGTTGTAATACATGAATTAAAATTTTTGAAACAACACTTTTTGTGTGTTACTGAACGAGATGTTATTAAATTAATCAATGTGCTTTACATTTTAATACAATTTTGCTATTGTAAAACGGACTTCAGAGCACACAAGCGCGGAGTTGCATGCGCAGAAACGTGTTTACGTATTGTGCATATGATATAAACCCCCGTGTACTGACCTCGCGGCGTCAAGATCTGTTCATTTTGCTACCGTTCGGTTCGCGTTTAACGAATTTCAGCCGAAGATTTAAAAAAAGACGCGAATGATCAATTTCGCCCACCGTGATCCATTTCATCCCGTTTGAAAACGAATTTTTAAATTTGGCTGTTCGATGCTGTGGAATTGTATTATGTATCCATGTCTAAGGTTGCGGTTGTGTGTGTTTACCCTGAACCTTAATTTATCAAAGAGACGTTGGTTTTTGACTAATTACAATTTCATCGAAAAGGCGGAGGCCATGCAGTTTCCTTCTGTTTTTAATATTTAGCCATTTAGTAATAATTAATGTGTGAGATATCCGTTCAAATTTCCTAATACCAAAAATTAGTTTCAGACAGGAGTTTTGTAATTTTTGTAATCTGAACTCACTTCGCTGTGAGAGGTATAGTTCGTAGACATAATCACAATAATTAGCATTGGAAAGGATAAAGATATCACACAGTTGAGTCTTCAGATATCTACTAAGCAAATGTCTATGAGCGTAGAGAGTTCGCATCCTCCTTGTTATTAATTGGTTAAATTTAATTCGTTTAATGTTAAAGTGCAACAATTTTGTCAGAAGCATGAGGTTTATTTTTTATATAATATAACTTATTTATTCAAAGTTTTATCTACCAAGTGCGTGTATACCATTTTATATACCGTGACCTTATTTGTATTATAGAAAATTATTACGAATATAGAATGTGACATTAAATCCCATTTTTTACTATACTCTTTTATTCAGACTATAATTGATTCACTGAATCATCAAAAAACTTTAAATATTCTATTACGTTCAGTAAATATATCGTTGTTTTTTTGTTTTCAGGTTCCCGCCAGGCTTAGAATGTCAGCGTCAATATGGATCAAAGTCTCAGCGTCAAGCGTCGTGTGTTTAATGTTTCTGAACTTGGTTGTGGCCCAAACTGGGACGAGGGGGCCATCGACGAAGCCACCGCCTTTGGGAAAGTGCAAGATTTCCGAGTTTAAGTGTAATAATGGGAGGTGTATACAACTGAATCGGTACTGCAATAATAAGAATGAGTGTGGCGATGGATCCGATGAACCAAGGTATTGTACAAGTAAGTATTATTATATTAATTATGCAGGTTCGGTAGTGTAATGTAATATTTAGGGTGTCCAGACGTCACGCTTTAGGCGTATTTTCCACGCTTTTTGACTTGCTTGTATGCTCAGCGCCACAGTACGACAATGTCCCGCTTTTGACAAAAATGCCACTTTTTTTATGCAAATGCCACTCTTTTTATGAAAATACTACGCTGTTTAATATTCAAAGCCGTAAATAAAAAAAAAACTTAATTTATAGAAAAATAGAAGGTAATGACCTGTTTTTGTTTCTTTTTGTTTTTTAGAAATTTCACAAATAATGGACCTGATTATATAAAATTGCTTGGTATTTGAACCTGATGCTCTGTCGTCACGGTTGTCACGCTTTTCACTTGTTAATTTGGCAACCCTATTAATAATAATAGGGCACAGGAACCTCATAAATAATATCAGAAGACAGGTCTGTTTCAATGTTCTTTTCATCATATTATCAACTCTTGGATTTTAATTAGTAATAAGCATTATTTCTTTTGTATATTAGTTATTGGGTTTATTTGTATCCTAGTTAAACAGTTTACTGGTGTTGGATTATTTATTAATGAACCTGTATACGAATTCTATTTTTATTTATACTTTTCGTTATTTTTTAAATCAATATAGCCACTCACTGATTGCAAAAAGTGGTATGTCATGTTTTTTGCTTACTATATGTAGTTAGGTATCTTGGAGGAAGGTAATGGGAGCAATCGTGTGACCTATAAAATGCAAATAGGCTTCTAGACGTTAATAACAATGAGAAATCCCGTTCTCTTGTCTGGTTTTACTACTTCCGGTGTAAGGATTTTGGTCACTTGACCGGATATTTACGTTTCTCTACGAAATTCGGGAAACTGCTTAAAAGTTTTTTTTTTCGTCGAAAGGGTTATTATGCAAAATGCAACCTGGTAAAAAAATTACCTGTTTTTTAAAATACGTGTTAGGTTAGGTACAAAATAAGTGGGATGATCTTATCGCCTTCCACTGCGACCCAGTTGGATCTAGTTTGGCTTATGGCTAACTTATAGTTCACCATACAAGCCGCACCTTCTGATGAAGGTCATGGTTGAATTGGATGAGACTTGTTTAAAGTCGAAAGGGTGAGTTCGATGATCTGGAACCTAGTTTTTTTTTCTACAGCGAAGCAAGTACATTAAATGTGCTCTGCAGATTCATCTTCTGTTCTTAGAATCGACAGTCTGATGTTTGTTGCAGACTCATCTTCTCATGTGGTTACCCAGACGACAATGTCCTGTCAAATCTAGTTTTTTTTTTTAAAGTGGAGCCGATACATAAAATGTGCTCTGCAGATTCGACTTCCATTTATAAAATCAACAGTCCGATGTTTTTTGCAGACCCATTCTTCTTTTGCGGTTACTCAGACAACAACGTCATGTTATCACTCCTATGCAAATTCGTAGATCTTTCCTACTTCATTCTGAACATGGAAGGGTTAGGTATAAACGCCTTTGAATGAGTTAACCAGTTCGTGACTGTTGCACTATCAGTCCATTTTGAGATGATTCTTTTGCCACTATTCTTTGCAATGCCTAGGATTGGTTCTAGTCTTATGAACTCAGATTTGATCCTCTGTGTCCCGGAATCCAGATTAAAGTAACTTGGTTTCGGACACCAAAACACTTAAGGTTGTTTTTACAGCTAGCTCTAAATTAACTTAATTAGAGCTTAGGGCTTTGATGGCTGCCTGGCTATCTTAAAAGATATTTATAGTCTTGTTTGCAAAGAAAAAAAATTTTATTTTAAAATTTTTGTTTTTATTCAAAAAAAAAAAATAAAAATGTAGACAATGGCTATATAAACTCCTAATTAAACAATATTTTAAAGAAAATATCCATGCAAATTCAACAAGGTGGGGCATTGCAACATTTAATGTTCGGAATTAAGATAAATGTTTTGGATAATATTTTGGGGATACTAAGCACTGAAGATGGAGTTATGCTGAAAGCACTTTCCATTTTAAAGTAAACAATTTTGCAAGAAAAACAAGTCCCTTTTTTTGCTAGTCTAAGTTACGTGCACACAGCCACTAACCTCTTTTTGTTCCTTTATTACTAGGAGGAGTTTAATGGGCTTGTCCAAAGGCGTCCTCTAATATGGCTATCTAGAATTCGCTTTAGTGTTCTTAAGGATGTTTGGCATATTGGACGATAGGAGCTTGGTAGAGAGGTATCTAGTCCACTAGCTTTGTATATATACACAACTCTTGCCATCATCCAACTTAGCGGGATACAGCTTGTGCAACGTAGTCCTTCCTGGGTCGTGTGATTGATTCCCTATAAGGAACAGTACGGTTTGTCTGTCCTTCAGAATTGAAATAGGCGTAAAATCAAATCAAAATTCAAATAGTAGTTTAACTGCTTTAAATATGTTTGTATGACTCTCAAATAAGCATTCTTTTCTTTCAGTTCTTCTCCCCTTTTCGCAATAAATTAGACTATTTTAATTTTTTGTTTTGTAATCCTCGAGATGAATAGATAGTTAAATGGAATAGAACTAGTAAGTAAAAAATGCGTGCAATACTCTTAGTAGGGAATTTTCTTTTACCAATCATTAAGGAAAATTATCTGGATTTTCTACATAAGTACATAAGAACGTTACATTAATTACTCAAATGCCTGAGGGTAAACTATGCTTATGAGAGCATGATTTTGAAGTTATTACGAAAACAAATTACATTAAAATTGTTTCGGGCTATGGAATTTCTTGTACAGTTTCCTTCGACGGTTTCAAAAGAATTTTGATATATATCTTTTTATATTTTCTACGAGAACATTGTCTTAATATTTATTAGAGACATTCCCGACACCTCTGAAAGGTCTTAACAGCGTTTCTTAACGTAAAATAAATAACATTTAATTCAGCAGCCACTTCACTTAAAAACCGATTTTATTCCAATTTTGCTTCAGAACTCGACTTTTAATCCTCAGTTAAGGGCTGCGACATTTTTGAAATTTTATTTGACATAAATTTTTAAGAGCTCTTAAAGTTGAGTCGACTAACGACTATGCTGCAAAATCTATATCACACCAATAAATGTTGGCGTGCACATTTTGGCTTCATCAAACGTTCTCCAGTATTAGGGGAGCTTTATTGAAAAGAATCAGATAAAATTTATACAGAATTATCCTGAGATTTTTTATAAAATAATTTAGATAAATTTGAATTTTGTTTATTTATTTTGATAAATTTTGATGAGAAAATGATTTTTATTCACTTAAGCAACCGTAGATTTTAAATTGATATTTTGTATCAATAGAAAAAAAAACTAGAGATAGGATTTTTAAAAGTAATTTGGCTATGGGAGTCTGAGGTATCAGTTCATTTTGGCAAAGGGATCTTTTGTCCAAAATAGTTTGGGAATCCCTGTCTTAGAGTATCTTCGAACTTGGAAAACACAGTATGTAAGCTTTTCAGATATTCACTCTAATACGTTCAACTAAAGACGTTCCTATGATGTGTGCCGCTGGCATGCAAATCAAATTATACCACCAATGGGCCAAAGCAAAATTCAAAACCATAAAAGTCCAAACAACAAAAACAAGTCTTGTTAAGTCAATAAAGGAAAAATCATGCCTTCATGTAGGGAAATATTTTAATGTCTCTGCGTGTAAATTTTCACATTTCTTATGTTCTACTTTTTAATAATTTTAATCATTTTTACTTTTGTGTGTGTGTGTGTGTGTGTGTGTGTGTGTGTGTGTGTGTGTGTGTGGGTGCGTGCGTGCGTGGGTGCGTGCGTGCGTGCGTGGGTGCGTGCGTGCGTGCGTGCGTGCGTGCGTGCGTGCGTGCGTGCGTGCGTGCGTGCGTGCGTGCGTGCGTGCGTGGGTGCGTGCGTGCGTGCGGGCGGGCGTGCGTGCGTGTGTGCGTGCGTGCGTGCGTGCGTGCGTGCGTGCGTGCGTGCGTGCGTGCGTGCGTGCGTGCGTGCGTGCGTGCGTGCGTGCGTGCGTGCGTGCGTGCGTGCGTGCGTGCGTGCGTGCGTGCGTGCGTGCGTGCGTGCGTGCGTGCGTGCGTGCGTGCGTGCGTGCGTGCGTGCGTGCGTGCGTGCGTGCGTGCGTGCGTGCGTGCGTGCGTGCGTGCGTGCGTGCGTGCGTGCGTGCGTGCGTGCGTGCGTGCGTGCGTGCGTGCGTGCGTGCGTGCGTGCGTGCGTGCGTGCGTGCGTGCGTGCGTGCGTGCGTGCGTGCGTGCGTGCGTGCGTGCGTGCGTGCGTGCGTGGGTGCGTGTGTGTCTGTGTGTCGAATAACTCATGAACCGATACACAGAAAAACACAAAACTTAAGCTTTGTTCCAGCGTCCAATGAACTGATTAGATTTTGAGCAGAGTCGGAACATCTGGGGGGTACTTTATGGAACGCCGTTTTTATATTTCATGGAATATATCTGTTATTTATGTTTGAAGAAGAAAATTAATTAAATAAAAGTTACTTCTTATATTATTATCTATAATTTTTGCTTAATGTCAAAATTTCCTGAAATGATCCGTATTCGAGAAATTTGACAAAATTTGCAAAATTCTAATTAATATGAAAATTGTTGAACTAAAAGTTGTTTGCGATATCGATCTCTATAATTTTTGTTTATACATGATTTTTCTAAAATGGACCGTAATGGAAAAATTGTAGGCAAAGTGCTAAATTAAAATTTTTCAGTATTTTCGTTTTCAATAAATATCTATAGAAAAATGTTTCGAGATAGATGTATGTGGAAAATGTATATATTTAGTTCATTCTCTAAACATTTATAGAGGTGCTACAATAGGTTGTACAAAATAACCGGAAAAAGCCTATAATAACTAGATAGGAAAGTCATGTGTTGGACACATCAGATTTTTTTTAGTTAAGAAAAGATCGCTGTACGCTGCCATTCGAAACAGGCAATAATAAAAGTATAGGAGGGTGGGCGGCTTAGTGGTAAAGTCTCTGCGGAAGGGATTTTTTTATATAATTTAATTATTTATTAATTCTAATGCATTAGTAGGTTCTAATTAACAGTGCCGTTCCTACAGTGGCACTGGGAAACAGTAACAAAGCCTACACATAGGACGAGGCTAATAACCTTAGTAGTTGATGCCGATGACACCAAATAAAAAAAAATATATAAGTTTTAAATATGTCTGCTAAATCGATAGTAACTAATTCTAGACAAAATTGAATTAGCTTAGATGAGAAAAATGAATTTGTAGTTCTTGATTTGAAATTTTTTTGTAGTTCTCTAAAATAATACAAAAATACGAATCGGTCATCATATGCTTTTTTGAACCCAAAAGATTCTTTTATAATGGGGCATTCGGATCATAACCATTTTAAATTTGTTGCAGGTGATCAGCTAAGACAGAATTAATATCACATTTGAAAAATTTCCTTTATTTTCGTTAAACAATTTGAAACTGCTATTTTAAAGGCTAAAATGTCGTGTCTCAAAACTGTTTATAATCATAAGTCATAATTGTGGATCAATGGATTTGATATACCTAAGATTGAAAAAAATATCCAAATTTTTTTTGTTGATAACACTAAAGTTCGTCAATAGCCACTAAACAGAACAAAACAAAAAAAAAGCAAATCGGGTTAAAAACAGATGAAAAAATGGCACTGAACTGTTTTGTCTTTGCCTATTTATATATGGATGGTGATATAGAAAAAGGAACCACCGCCATAACAAGATTTCTGGAAACAGCGAGAAACATATACATATTTTTTTTTTTTCATTTTTCACTATGTTTTAAATAATTTTTTAGAACTGGTACATTAAAGATAAGTAGTAGAGTGGTTACTGCTGCTACTGAATGTATTTTTTTTTGTAAAATTTTATTAAAGTTTGAATAAATTCCAATAAATTTATTTTCAGATGTTTTTTCAACTATTAAAAAAATCGAAAAAAGAACCAGGCGCTTGGTTCCAGTCAAATTTACGGATGTTTTCGTTTTTATTAGTTAAAATTAGATTTTAACATGTTTATGAATTACCAGTATCGATATTCGAAAATTAACATAAGTTAAAAACTAACTTTTACGAAATTTTAAAAATATGGTCGGTGGTTCTTTATTCAATAATATGCCTAATCAAAAAAGTAATTACTATAGAATTACCAAGAACCTTTTTGTATTATGAAAATTATTATTTTGTAATAAACTGGAATTTCAAAATAAAAATTAATTCTGCATCAAAACTAAAACTTTAATTTTTGTAATAATAAGAAAAATTATATTGAAACTACTCAGTAAAAAATAAGAAATTTTACCTACTAACATTTAAAAAAATATAATGGATTATTTGTTATAAACTATGTAGGTACTTTGGCAAGATAATACTGTGCCAAAAAATATTAGGTACAACGATAAGTAACAAAAACCAAGTATAGAACTAAACCTAAACACTCTGACTTTCTTTGGTAAAAAATATGCATTTTCTTAAACTGAAACACGCTTACCTAACTTAACAATAATAAAAAAAATAATTCTAAACCAACAAACGTAGTATATCTAGATAGGTACTTGAGTAATAAACAACGTGTGTAAAAACTACAAAAAACAAAAATTTTTTTTGGAAACGATCACTAGACATTTTTAAATTCAAAGTCAACGTCTGCATTAAATCCATTAATGACATCAACGACAATATCATTTGATAATAAACTGGTATAGAACTCTTGTTCTGATGATGGTATCAAATGCAGAATTCATTGGATATCCTTTAATTTTGGAGTAGAAATAGCCTTTCCTTCGGGCCATAGTAATTCTAAGCTTTCTGGAAAGGGCTGATATTTTTTTATGTTTTGTTTGGGTTTTAGGTAAATTTCCTCAAACGGTTTTTTAGTAGAATGACAGGTTCTTAAAAATAAACTATAGGGATGATCTTTCCTCAATTGAATTTCTTTTGCGGAGAGCCAGTTTATTTTGTTTCCTTCCGTATTAACTTTTCCATTAATAATAGCTTTTTGCATACCTTCAGTATTTTGAAAGTCCATTTTTTCCATTGCGGTAACCTTAAATGGCTTTTTCTTCCTACATGTTTTAATTACATTAATATTATCTTGAGGGACGTATAATCTTTGCTGATATTTCAATGCTTTTTCGAAATCACTAAAATCTGAATCATCCGGCAAAAAGCTATGACCTGATTCTAAAAATTTCATAGATATCATTTTTAAAGAAGGATGATGCTGAAGAATAAATTTCATCATGAGGCACATTTTGATATTTCTATTTTGACCCCCACACGAGTCACTCCATAATCGTAGTTCAGTGATGTTCTTATCTAGTGCATTTCTGAAAACTTTTTAGACAAGAACCTACCTCTTGAGCTCCCTTTCCATCCATTGCTTCTGTCTAAACAAAACAGTATCCTTTATCAGTTTTTCCCGAATGAATCTCTAGGTTGTAAAATCACAACTGCCTTTTATAGAATATGATGTTCGTCAGAATTCGCGGAAGGGGTAAAGTTTGTTCTAAATGAAAAGTTAATGTTTCAAGTACAGGGTTATCTTTGGCTTCTTTAATATCTAATTTCATTCTATTTCTGGCGTTTTCAGCAGCTTTTAAATGTATATCGTGTTCTTCTTTAGCCTGAGGGTTTACTTCAGAGATGTTGCTGCAAATGTCGCATTTGTTACAGGTGTCTTTTTTTAAAGCTTTCCTACTTAAGTTAAATTTAGTTTGAAAAATATTTTTATATTTTGACAAACTAACTGGATCTTCCACTTCTTTTTTATACAAATTATTACACATGAATTCTACCGTCATATACGATGGCAAAATCTCTTTTTCAGTAACAGATCGACGATAATGTGATTTATATTTTGGGAGTCGGCTAATTTGTTCTATTAATTTGAGTATTTTATCATTTGGTAAAGTCTTGTGGTTTTTATGTGCCCTCCGATGATCTCTTATGTCCAAATTTCGAAACTTTTAAAGGGCAGTATCAACACGTTTTGTGGAAACCCTTAATGTTTTTATAAACATAGTTCGGCAAACGGTAATATCTTCTATGGCATATTCCCTGGTAAAATATCTCTTAATAGATGGATTGGCATTTCTTCTACGTTTAATATCATTTTGTGTAACACAAGCAGATATAAAAGAATTTTGCCTTTCGTAAGATCCACTATTCCAAAACTTGTCAAAAAAATATTTCCTAATTTCCATAGAAACCTTCTCAAAACACTTTTCTTTGCAGTTACAAATGTATCCAACAAATGGTTTTGGCATTATTTTTTTCCTGCTTTACTGAAGTAAGCTATATTTGAATTTTTATTTATTTTTCGAATTTCTTCTGTTTGATTCGGAAATTTTCTTTTTCTTCCCTTTTTCGGTTTTCCTTTATTTAAAGTTATTTCATCATCATCTTGGTCGCCTCTGTTGAAACTAGTATTGCTTCTAGACGCTGAACTTATATTATTAATATTTCTTGTGATATCTGTGAGAGGATTCCGTTTATTTTTTCTCCTTACTAAATCTTCACTATCGGAACTCTCCGATTCAATTTGAAAATCAAGATCGCGAATATCATCATCAGAATCACTTTCTGTCAGAGCTGAGATCGATTCTTGGGGTAGTCTTGATGGGCCAGGTAAGCTTAAACAGTTATTTATATCATTATGATCCCAAGTCGTATTATTAGGCGAAACAGTCGTATCACTGGAAGATACAGGTACTTATTTGCATGGCAACGATTTTCTTCGAGGATACATTGGATGGCATTCTGAAGCTCAGTCTCGGCAGGCAGCTCTGCAGGAAGCTCGACAGGAAGCTCGGCAGGGAGCTCGGTAGGCAGCTCGGTAGGCAGCTCGGTAGGCAGCTCGGTAGGCAGCTCGGCAGACAGGGACTGAAATAACTGAACGGTATTTTCATTCTCGTTTTCATTTTTATTTTCATTAAAATATGTGGTGTTTGAGGCTGAAAATAAAAAATGTAAATAAAAACCTTATTGGTACACCCTAAATAATTATTTATTTATATTTGGCAGACCTTAAACATGGTGTTCCACGATATTTCAACACCTAACTCTACCATGCTCTATTACATACTTAGTGTTTTCCTAAAAGTTATAATGGCTTAACATTGATCAAATACCTACGTTAGAACACGCAGTATTACTAAAAATATCTAATTGTTGGTATTATTATAATAATTATTATTATTATACAGGAATACCAATTTTGGAATACAGAACCAGCCATCAATATCAAAGGGTCCACGAGTAGAATTTTACCAAATTAATTTTCGAATATAGAACAAAGTACACAAATTATTTGGAGGTTATAATAATAAATTATGATAATGTTTACTTACCTGATGTATTTTCAAAGACTGAACTGCATTTTCTTGCTTCTCGAACACTAATCTACACATTTCTTTGCCTCTCGACATATTTTACCCGAGATTTTTGCATTAAAACTACGTTTTTAACAGGTCGATACACGTGCTCAATGAAGTATTTGTGGTTCTTTATTCGAAAACAAACGTAACTGAATAACCGTTTTCGAAATACAAACTTCCGTTCACAGATTTCGCTAGTATTAATCAAGCCTGATAAAAATTGGTTTGACGATTGGTTCCATTTATAGCAATGTGCTGACGTAGACATCTCATTTTTAGCTGTTTTGCGGTTGGTTCCTTTTTCTATAGCACTATCCATATAGATTTTTAAAATTGGGTGATGTAAAATATCTTTTTCAACTAAAGGTATAGGATCAAGGATAGGATTGGCCAATCCTATCTAGTAAGTACATTTCACGGTGTTACGTCATTGCTGGATCAGATTTTTATAAACTTATATGTTGTTTATACGTTTGTATATAGTTTTTAGTATTATTGGAATTGTTTTTCTAATTGACTGGACTTTTTTAAAGAGTAGGTATTTTGGTAAATCAACTTAGTTTTATTATAGGTAAGTTCTACAGCGGCAAAAAATGTTTGTTTTTAACTAATTATAGTGTTATTATTTTAGGGTTTGAATGTGCCAGATAGACGGTTGTCAGTAATGGTAACAATAGCCGTGTGAAAACAAAATAAAATAACCCAGATATAATTTATCATGATTTTTCATTAGGGAAAGATTTTGTTTTACACGAAATAAAACAAAAGTGGATTCGGAGGTGCAGTAGAGCCAATAAAGGGAATCCCACAAGCCAGATTTGTTCTTTCCATTTTATCGGCAATGATTATGAAAGAGATCTTCATAACGAATTATTGGGTAATTGGGTTTGCCAGTGAGGAGGCGATTAAAGAAAACTGCAATCCCTACTTTATTTTTTGGGAATAGTAAAGGAAGATAAAACTTTAAAAATAAAATAACGGGAATGTCGAATCTTGAAAAGAACAGAAAAATAGGGTGGATGATTGTTTAAAACAATATACCAAAATTTCTACACATTTAGAGGTTAATTAAAGCAACACAATTGAAAGCGAAAACAGTGTCGTTGAAAGTGGTAACCGGGAGCAAACATATAATAAGTTTAAAAATGATTTTAAAATTATAAACAAAAAGGCCAATATGTTTACACAGGTAAAGCAATTAAATGTTTATACAAAGCAAATATCAGGACTATTAAAGCAAAACAAAGAACTAAATGCCAAGAAAAATATTTTTACTTAAAAGCAAATGGACTTATTGATAATAAAAACAAAAAAAAGTTACGTGTTGACTGGACATTTGAAGTAGTTTCATTTGCTTTTAACTTGCGATATTACGGCAAAAAAGACATATCTGTATGTAAAACAACAATTTTATTTTCTACTTCCTGGTTTGTTTTCTTTAAGACGATGGACTAATAAATTAAATTTCACAAATGCAATCTTATTGCATTAAAAGGTATGCAGTTGGACGGAGAATTAATAATGGGCTATTTGAATTATGTGTACTATTTTGTACTAATTATATATGATATTGAACAATTCAGCGATGTTTACCCGAAAAACAAAATGTTTGTTGAGGAATACACGCAAATGACCTTTTTTGCCGTAAAAATTAAAATATTTTGATATGTCCTATACATAAAGGATCAATAAAAAAATATTGTTTTAAATTTGTGATACTTATATTTTTCGTATACCCTGCAATTATTTCACTGGGAATTTAATAAAGGTATGACTGATAATTTTTAAATATGTGTGGTATTAGCCTTCACCTGGCCTCGTGTGGTACGTACATACCCCACCCTCTTTCTCGTCGATTTTCGATATCTAAATCTTGGAAATCGAAACTCGTAACGACATCTATCGGTAGTCAAGGGATATACTTTTATACATATGCCAGTGGGATAGCGCTCTCAAAATAAATACCTTTTTTAAAGACCCATGAAAACAGTTATTATTCTTTTATAGTGATGTAAGAGAAGAAAAAACAGCTAACATGTCAGCCCTTTTTATCAAAAAACAAAAAAGTTATGATTTTTTTGTCAAAAACGGATTTTTTTCAAGTTTTCCAGTTTTCCGAATTATTTATGAACGCTGATCTTTATTTTTTCAACTCGGACTAATCTGCAGTTTAAATTGGTATCTAAAGAGCAACTCTGATTTTTTTTGAGACAAAATAATCAATATTTCAATTTTTACAAAAATTTTTATCACTAGGATTCGTACGTACCCCACGAGTCCAGGTATGTTACTCAGGATGAGCATGCCAAATGAAGGTTAGAAATGTTCTGAAAAATATTGTGCCGTAACCGCCCACAATTGCTTTTATTGAAACGTGGTCGTTGAAAGAGAATATACCCATATTTTGTTTCATCCTGTCCCATTTATTTCGAAATAGGTACCTCGGACGGTTTATATTAACAAAAATGAGTTTATTACATGACATTCACTATTCTTTTTTTACACGAAATATAAACCAGAGCAATTTTAGACCAGAGCATACTGGCGCATTCGTTTGCAAAATTGTTTTAATTCGTAATTTTTTTTTTTTTTTAATGTTCGGAAGGCTTTCCTGGTTATAAAAGTGTAAGATGACACTCGATATTTGTTAATGTTGTTTAAACAACGAAAAATTAATTAAGCCAGAAAAAATGCATTTTTTGCAATGAATTAATTTATTTTATATTCTTTAGGATATTTCGAATAAAAAAAGTCCTTACGCCCATCATCGTATCTTCAACCCTTTAATCGTTATGAATTTTTTAAAATCCAAAATTGACGAAAATTCTAATTTTCTTGAATTAAATAATATACCTTAAAATTTAAAATGCTATAA